CCCCCCCCCCCCCCCCCCTTCGCTTCCACAACCATAGCCCCCTTTGCAACACAATCACAGAACATGGACCTCCTGGACGCCGCCGACGAGAAGAAGGGGGCCGCCGCGGCAGCCAGCCGCAAGGACAACGACGACGGCAAGATGAAGACCGACATGATCTACGGCAACCAGTCCGTCGACCAGTCCGGCGCCAAAGCGCTGATGGGGATCGGAGGCCGCCCGTCGCTTTAGGTGATGCGGGTGAGCGGGCTTGACGCGGCGCAAATCCTTCCAGCGGCTCGTCCGACTGCACGGAGGAGGAGGAGGAGGCGTCGCCGACAGAGAGCAAGAAGATGCAGCGGCACCGGTGCGAGGAGCTTGACACCGACGAGGACTACCTCGCCAAGATCGACCCTATGACGGAAGAGGTAGGGTCTGGTCGTTGCTGGTGTCTATTGTAATAGTTTTCTTTTTCCTTCCAAGGCGAAGTGTTGGCCACTTCAGGCGAGCGCGTCTTGTTTTTTCTGCCGTATTTCCCCGTGCCTGCAAGCTCTCATGTAGTGTTTGTGTTTTGGTCCTTGACGACGCAGAAACATTCGCTCGCCACCTTCACCATACCGCAGTCAGTGAGGAACTGACGCACACGTTCTAGCTCACCTTCCTGCAGAACGCCGTGACTCTCACCATGTCCACCCACCGGCACGTTCTTTCTGTGTGGAAGAAGTGTCATTGACTTTCTGCCCGTAATGCTCGCATCGAAACACTTAACACGCGCCCCTCCCCCCAACCCGCCGTCCACTGCACCAGGTGTCGTCGCTTTTGCAGAAGTCTCTGACCGCCGCGGTCAGCGTCGCTCCGCCCACGCCACCGCTCACCCCCGCATCCACGATGTCGTCTCCCGCGGATTCCTTCCACGGGTCGACCCGGGCCGTGTTCTTCGGGAGCGGCTCCAACGAGAACGACAGCGGCGCTATCTTTGAGAGCGTGAACGAAGACTCTCTGCTGGTATGCATGTGACGTTACAAGTTGACTCCCTTTGTATGTTACCCTACAAGCAAGCGTAGAGTTGATGCTGCAAGCGTACAGTAAAGCTCAAACCCGCTAGAATGCGGGGTGCTGTCATTACTCGGCCGGTATAGCGCCGAGTGAAGCGCTGTTTGTTGGTAAACACCACCCGCACCAAGGGTGGGGAGATGTGATGGAGAAGAACAATAAACTCCAGACCTTCGTGGCCCCGGCTGGTGCGAACAATACACTTGCCGAGAAAGGGTGCACCCAAAACGTAGATGCGCGCGAACACGCTAGCGAATCTATGAGGTGTAGACGGAGAACGGTTGGCTCACGGTTCGTTTTGACAGACAATGATCGCCTTGTTTTTCCTTTCGTCGTCGAATAAGGAGACTGGTATATTCGTCGCTTGGCAGAAACAAGCTCCCCCTTCGCCTCTCTTCCGTCCACCGTTCTGTTGGCCTGCTGCCGCAGTTGCCGCAGGTGGTACCGCGCTCGCCGGGTGTGGTCGACATTCCCCCTCCCCGGTTCCCGTCGCCTCGTGTGTACCTCACCGCCGACGGCCTCAACATGAATCTCTGCATCCTGGACGGGGTCAACTCGGTGGGTTTTTTTGTTTTTTCCTGCAGAAACAGCTCGAGATCATCTGTGTCCGTAGAGCATGAAACGTCTAGGGAAAGTTCGCCACCGATTATAGTGATATACCCCAGAATTCATATGACCTGTGTATGTAACATCCATCGCGTGACATACTTCCCCCGGTGAGTTTTTCTAAGCACAGGTGTTCTCGGCTTGTTTCTTTGTTTTTCTTTTCCGCCTTCTTCCTTCCCTGCCTTGCCTGCCCGCCCCCCCGCCACTAGGATGGCGGTTTTGGTTACGTGGTGTTTGTGAAGGACAAGGCCATGAAGGAGTCTTTCGCGTTCAAGACATCCAAGGTAAGGGGTACCCATGGCATGCTGCTTGTTGTGGCTGACACAGTGAACAAAGTACATCAACTGTTTCGTGTGAGAACCAAACCCGCTGGGAAAATCTCCTTTGTACGCTGTGCACATCGTCAACAAAATTGGTGTCGTTTGTACTTGATTCAGGGCCACACGTGCGTACGAATGTTGATTTGTGCCATGAGGCAACATGAATTTGTTTTCCCCGAGCAGTTTTGAAGCTTGAGGCAGGTACCCCAGGAGGAAAGGCCGGTTTACCCCCGTCCATTATTCATTTTGCCGCCTCTACCCAAGTCGTTACCGCCGAAAAACGCACTACCGCCTACTACCAAAACAATTGCCTCCATTCAGCATTGCCGCCAAACACATTCCGTTTCCGTGCCGAACAACACTCGAAAACGTTCCAGGACACACCGGCCGGACGCCGGCAGATGGAGCGGGACGTGGCGGCCCTGAGCGACGTGTGGGGCAAGGTGTCCCACGTCGTGCACGTCCAAGAGATATCGTCGACTTCCGGTGCGCCCATGCTCCTCATGCGCAGTGAGCCTGGCACCGCCAGCTCGATGCTCAGCCGGTGGTCGAACACCGACCCCCGGGCCCTCGTGAGGTGAGAGCCTCTGTTGTCAAGTACGCCATGGCAAGCCAACCGGCCAACGGTGTTGACCTACATTAGCGTGCGGCCTCAAACATTCGTACATCACCCCACGCCCGTCGCTCTTCTCCCCTCTCAGGAAAACGGAGTTGAATTCCCTTCACCCTCACTACCTGATGTCTTACGTCCGCGCGTAGCAGCACCAGCATACACGACCGTTGGATCAACGGACCCCACAAAAATCTGATTGGCCGGTTGGCTTGCCATGGCGTGCTTGACGACAGAGGCTCTCACCTCACGAGGGCCCGGGGGTCGGTGTTCGACCACCGGCTGGGCATCGAACTCACGGTGCGGGGCTCTCTGTGCATGAGATGTCATGGCGCCATTGATACATGAAGCACCGTTCTGACCACCACCCGAACCTCCTCTTCGTTTCCCTTCAAAGAGAAGGAATCGTGTTTCGCCATCACAAGCAACATCAGAGTAAGGCAGAACCCACAACCACAGAGATAAGCTCTGGCTATCGATCTGCCATGTTTCGTCTGACATGACAGCTGCGATGTCTGACCGCCTGGAGGCTGGAATGTCGTGTTTTTGTTGTAGTCGCGTGTGCGTTGGTATCCTGGTCTATTTTTCTCTCATGTGAACGTTGTATCCATTTGGGGGCCGTAAGCCTATGATCACGCGTTAGTTGGACCATTGGAATTGAATTGTTGGAAAATATACTATGCAGAGGTCGGAACGATGTGTAAGGCAACAATGACAACAACAAAACACTTAGCGAAGAATAAAATCTGAATACTGACATACCCAGGAAAAACAAGAAGGGTTGGCCAAGAACAATCCCCCGCAGCTGTCTACCACACCACTTCCCCACGCATCACGCTATCTACTGTTTGTCTTCGCATCAACCACAACAAATTTATCTGCGGGACACCCTCGGCTGAGAAGAACACGACAAGCTCAACCAACCATTGCTACTAAACTGGTGGCGGCCTCGGGGGTGGCGACAGCATCAGCCGCATCGGTGGCATCGCAATTAGGCTTGTCATCTTTGCCTTTGTTGTTACTCTTGGACATGCACCGCCTAGACTTGCCTGGAGACCCACTGGCTCCAGTCCCTCTGCCTCTCACCGCCGTTCTCCTTGCGCCGCGGCCACCGCCAACGACGACCGACCTGGATCTCGGCCGTGGAGGCGAGGCGACAAGTTTGGGTTCATTCGAACCCCCCGAGCTGGCGGCGGCGCCGCCGGTGCTGCCGCCCCCGGCTCCGCCACGCCTTACGATCCCACCGTTTTCCTTCCCTCCTCCTCCACTTTTCGTAGGTCTAAGAGGCGTGCTCGCGCGTCTGCTCCACCGCCCCCCGCGCCTGCCTCGGCTGCCATTGGGTGCGAGCCAGCACGGCGGAAATCCTGGAGACCTGACACCCGGTGATTGTCCACCCGGGGACCCTCTCGGATCGGTCGGATCTCCCTCCCATCCCGTACCACGTTCTTCCTCACCGTTGCCGCTGCTGGTTGCTGCTGAGGGTGATAAGTTGTTGTTGCTGCTGCTGCTGCTGGTGTCGGTGCTGTTGCTGCTGCTGCTGCTGGTGTCGGTGCTGTTGCTGAGGAGAGGGAGATCGGGAAGCTTTCCGGTGGTAGTGAAGCTCTCGAACAGGCTGTTCGCGCAGGCAACGAAACGGTTGAGATCTTCTGCGGCTGGCGACCCTTCCGGAATGGCAGGCAGTTTGGCGCTAGCTTGTGGGGGTCTCGTGTCAACACGTAAATACAGTCGCCATAGGTGGGAACAGGGAAATACAGGTCACGTGACCACTTCTCGGTGATGTACCCGACGACTCGCGGCGTGGTTGTCACCGTGCCAACGGACGAAACTTTGACGCTGTGGTTCATATTTGAAGATTCGCTCACTCGAAAATACAGTATCAACCCCCCGCGAGTGGAACCGAGTCGCAGGTCTGGTGCCAGATTTCTACCGTCCGTGAATTGCTTCCAATGTGTTGATTTCATGTCATCTGCCCAATAGCTCAGGGACACATGGAAGAAAACTCACACCACCAATACCTTCCACTTGACGGCCACGTTGCAAGAAATGTCATGAGGAAGAGGGAAGCCTACCCAGACCTATTCCAGGCGGTGCCAGCTGCTAGCGTACGATTCCCTGAAGTCACCAACAAGCTTCGAAAACAGCTCGTACTTGCAACATGCATGCCCATGCGTGGCATGGTGCGCCGGTTGAAGTTGATATCCCATGTATGTGGACATAAGCCGTCAGTACTACCGGAGAAACCTTGTAGATCTTGTTGGAGAATCACGCCGTACAAGTCAGAGTACCCGTTAGGGCAGGGGCAATCTACCCACCTCTTGTCGTACAAGGCAATGACTCACTTCAGTTCCTTGTACAGGAGCGTGTCGCGGCGACTCAGACCCAGAGAACCCCACTTCCCCCCACTGCGCACGGCTAAGACAATGTGCCTGTACACGCGCCCATCCAGAGACGATCGGAAGCATACAGAAAAACGATCGACCTGTGGTCGGTGATACAGATTTCAGGTTGTCGCGCAGAGAGGGGCAGAAGGGGTTTGTAAGGAACGGCTGTAATCAACGCAGGGAGCAACGAGTGTTGGGAGATTCTGGACACTCCCAATGGTAGTCAGTGAGCGATTCTGCTGCGATTCAGCACAGGCTGTCGTTCGAAGGCTGTCGTAGACGAAAGAAGCACTCCCCCGTCCCCGAAGCTGATGCCGAAAAAGCTGACCCCCTCGCCGCCGGCGCTGGTCGATCAGTGTGCGGCGCAACCCTCGAGAGTCCCCTCTGGGTCGTCGAGCCTGACAGACTGGACCACCCGGGAGCGGCAGCAGCAGCCGCCTGTGTTGAGAGCCGGGAGGCCGTCGCTCGCACCTCGTCGTTGCTCTTTCCTTCGCATCCTCGTGAAGCGGGATCTGATGGAACGGTCTTGTCGACCAGTGGGCAGACCTGCTTGGCTGGTGCTTCTGGTGGTGATGGTGCTGCTGCGACCGCGGTGGCTGGTACCGGTGGTCGTCGTGGTGATGCCCCTCCTCGTGACGGAAGTGGCCCACTCGCCGGAAGGTGGTCCAATCGGGGGAGCCCATGGGGAGGGACCACCGATCCACGTAGTAGGCGGCGGCGGCGGCAGCGACGGGGTTCGTGTGGGCGAAGCATTCCGGGGTCACTCCAACCCCTGCCACACGCAAGATCTCGCGCCGCACGTAGCACCTCCAGAAGCCGTGCGTCAGCTTGTCGACTTGCACCCTGCGCCGCCCCTTTATTTCGGCCTGCACGGTCTCCGCCATCTTCGAAATGTTGCCGCAGGTAAGGCTTCCCCAGGCTTCCTGCCGTCCTAGTGTCACTGTTAGGTACGACAACCAGGTACCGGGTGTGGCACATGTGATGTCGACGACAGTACACGCGACACGCACAACCACCACGGCTAGAACTGCAGCACACGTTCTCCAGCAGAGACCTTCTTCAGCATCTGGTGTTCGCATGTCGGTTTGGACTCTTTGCGAAGGAAGGCTTATCTTCGATCTTGATGAGGCACGACGGCGGCTATCGCGTTGATGCCGGCAGGACAGAGAGGGTTGTCGGGCCTCCTGGATATCTTCTCGTGCTTCGTGTACCTGGGGTGTCGAATGGTCTGTTGCGAGAAGATTATATGATGGCTCAACTGCTGTACAGCGGCCCAACAAACATAGGTGTACAACCGAAAACCATCAATGGCCGAACAACCCATTTTTCTGACAAAGAAATAGAAAATATACTTGTCTATCTGTCTGTCTGTCTGTCTGTCTCTATCTCTTGGTTTTTTCAAACTCTGAACAAACGCCTCTACTCGCCTCTCTGCGCAGCAGTATCTCCGTGCACACGTACACACTTCTTATCCAAACAGAAGAATATGCGCCGTTCAAGGCGTTCAACATGATACTCGGCGCCGAGCAGAGCTCCGTTTTCGCTCCAGACTACAGCAGTGTACGCATGCCGCCCGTTCTGCTACCCCCTAACACGTGGGACAGGCACCAAGGTGGAGGAGTGCAGTTGCGAACGTCACCACGTGATTTGCAGTCTTGTTCTCGCGGGTACCATGCCATGTATAGCAACAGTCTCCTTGCGTGTCAACTGGTCGACGCAGTCAGAGAAACACAAACCAACGCCAGGAAATGACTAATGCTGCACAAGAAGTTGTGGTGATGCCTCTTTTCTTGCGATTCCTCCGAATCCGGAGCGTGGGCCGGCGTGCTTTCTGCACTACACTGTAGTGGACTGCACCCTGCACTCGTCATCATGTGAAGAGGAGGCTGTAAATTGAAGATACGGTATGCAGGCGTTGTGGGGTTTTCTACCCNTAATGCTGCACAAGAAGTTGTGGTGATGCCTCTTTTCTTGCGATTCCTCCGAATCCGGAGCGTGGGCCGGCGTGCTTTCTGCACTACACTGTAGTGGACTGCACCCTGCACTCGTCATCATGTGAAGAGGAGGCTGTAAATTGAAGATACGGTATGCAGGCGTTGTGGGGTTTTCTACCCACGAGGATTGACTGCATTTCAAGAATGGTTTTTCCAGCACAGTTCGAGCGGTCGATACACGTCGATACACGCTTTCGTTGACAATTCAGTGCTGGACGTTCGTCGCGTGCTCATCTCTGGTTTGTCCTTGGACCTCTCCTTAGTTAGAAGTGGCGAAGCCCTACAAGGGCCAACCTGATCTTGGTGTGTTGGTTCGGTAGATGGGTAGACATCATTCGGCTTTTCGGAGATGTTGTTGTTGTTGTCTTCACATTAAACCGTATGTGTCAGTTGCTAAATGCCAAAATCTATAGGCTTTTGCTCGATAGGCGACCTTTTTCTTTTTTTCCCGGCGTTTGCCTT